CTACTTCAACCTCCACCTCAAGCATTCCAAACGCAAAGGCGCTTGCAACATAGTCATAGCTCGTTCTGACACTTCTCCCTGTCCCTACAGATCCATGATGCATTACACTCGCCTCCGCTCTCGGAAAGGAGATCTCAACGGACCGCTTCCTCACTCCCGATAACCTCCCCATAACATCCAACTGGTTCAGAGCCCAACTCAAGTCCGTACTGCTGCTTTGTAACTTGTCCCCCCATCTCTACACAGCTCACTCTCTCGGATAGGCGCTGCCACGCGCGCCGCTTCCCTGGGTCTCCCCATTCTGCCCTTCAGCAGCTGGGCCGCTGGTCATCATCGGCCCTCTCCTCATACATCAGGCCTGACACTTCGACTATTCTGGCAGCCCAGCGTCTCTTGGCATCTTCATAAAACACTCGCAAACTTCCTGGTGGCGGCAGCAGCTGAGCATCTATAGATAGCGGTCACAGTATATAGCGGTCACAGTATATAGCGGTCACAGTATATAGCGGTCACAGTATATAGCGGTCACAGTATATAGCGATAGCGGTCACAGTATATAGCGGTCACAGTATATAGCGGTCACAGTATATAGCGATAGCGGTCACAGTATATAGCGATAGCGGTCACAGTATATAGCGATAGCGGTCACAGTATATAGCGGTCACGACGTCTGTCCCCTGCAAACCAGGCCTGCAAAACTCCATCAACACACAGCCTTTTGGGGATTGTGCGCGCACTCTCGCAGGAGCCTCGCTGACTGAACGCCGCACCGGGGCCTAGGGCGCCAAACTACCTCTCAATAAAATACTTCAAAGGCATTCTTGTTTCCTCGTCTCTCCAGATTGAAATGCAGCTCGCGGAAATTCAATTTGGAAGACGTCAGCCAAAGCCACCCCTTCCAGGCCGGCCTTGCATCCCCAGCCTATCGCACAGCAAACGCCCTCTTCCAATCAATCCGTGCCGGCCAGGCCAGCCGCTTAAAAGCGGAGAAACTCCCACTTCACGGCCTTCTCGAAGCCTTGCAACCACCGCCTCCCCTCCTCCTCCTTTTCTCACCCTGCCTCAATCATGCCTCTTCCTGCTGCCAAATGCCGCCACCAGTGCCTAGGTCCCGGGGGATTGTGCGCGCACTCTCGCAGGAGCCTCGCTGACTGAACGCCGCACCGGGGCCTAGGGCGCCAAACTACCTCTCAATAAAATACTTCAATTATAATGGAAAATTTGTTTTAATTGTGTTAAAAGCCCTATAGGGACGGACATTGCAAACTAGCCTTGGCTATACAGTGCCTTGCGAAAGTATTCGGCCCCCTTGAACCTTTCAACATTTCGCCACATTTCAGGCTTAAAACATAAAGATATAGAATTTTAATTTTTTGTCATGAATCAACAACAAGTGGGACACAATCGTGAAGTGGAACGAAATTTATTGGATAATTTAAACTTTTTTAACAAATAAAAAACTGAAAAGTGGGGCGTGCAATATTATTCGGCCCCTTTACTTTCAGTGCAGCAAACTCAGTCCAGAAGTTCAGTGAGGATCTTTGAATGATCCAATGTTGTCCTAAATGACTGATGATGATAAATAGAATGCACCTGTGTGTAATCAAGTCTCCGTATAAATGCACCTGCTCTTTGATAGTCTCAGGGTTCTGTTTAAAGCGCAGAGAGAACCATGAAGACAAAGGAACACACCAGGCAGGTCCGAGATACTGTTGTGGAGAAGTTTAAGCCGGATTTGGATACAAAAAGATTTCCCAAGCTTTAAACATCTCAAGGAGCACTGTGCAAGCAATTATATTGAAATGGAAGGAGTATCAGACCACTGCAAATCTACCAAGACCCGGCCGTCCCTCCAAACTTTCATCTCAAACAAGGAGAAGACTGATCAGAGATGCAGTCAAGAGGCCCATGATCACTCTGGATGAACTGCAGATAACTACAGCTGAGGCAGGCCTCCTCTCTGACAATGTTTAAAACCAGGTTAAAGACAGTTCTGTTTAGCAGTGCATACAACTGAGGGATTTTATATTTTTATCTTCTTTTTAATGTACTGTGATTATTTATGATTTTAATGCTTTCTTGTTTTGTTCAGCACTTTGAATTGCCTTGTGTATGAATTGTGCTATACAAATAAGCTTGCCTTGCCTTGCCTTACTCTATGTCTATGTTGCCCAGTGAGACACTAGCTATGAGGATTGTGAAATGATTTTCCACTTTTTTTGTCAGTCACAATTTGGTACTGGCCTAAAGGTTTGTTTTAAGTATGTCAAACAACTGAAATAGTACACAAACAAATGTTCCTTCCTCTGAAATCTTTCATAGTTTGATATAGAAATTGTAGTTGTATCTTTGTATTTCCTTTGAATCATATGTATGATTTTGCACACTGAAAAAAGTACGTCCTCTAATTTTCAGGTTTTACTTAATTAGGTAAGTAAACGCCTTTGCCTGAAGCCCCCACTGAAATATCTAGGCGGTGTTGTCAGTGACAGAGTCCTCCTTTGGACTCTGTGTGAGGGGCTGGTGCTCTGTGAATGGGGAGGCAGATGACTGCCAACCCCCTGACCCAGAAATGTACAAAGGGGAAGAAAATGGATTGATGGCTGGAGGTTACTTATGTGTGGAATAAAGACAAAAAAACAAAAATGATCCCTGGTTTTATGTTTGGTCCAGTTGCATCAGCAAAGAGCAAGCTATGTTTTAATGCCTGTCAGTTTTATGGAAAATAAACCTCACAGGAGAGTCCACTTTTTCTTTTTGCAAAAACGGAATTTCAGCAAGAAATCAGAACAGTCTGACAATAAAACCCAAGCTGCATGTGTTCGAGTCAAAGTGATTACATCTCATTATGAATAATTCTGTTTTGAATACAGCCCAGTTCTCTTCTTGCCAATGCCATTACTGCATTACTGTGGGCTTTATTAAATGTTCCATGGGCAGACTTTGGATCAAACCCTTGTCATATTCATACACTAATGGGTTATTTCAGATTAAAATGTGGGTACAAAAGTACGTAATACTTTGCTATTGAAATATAAGTCCAAAAATGCATGCAGCAGATGTTAAATTCAATGACAATGACTTTACTGTATATTAGAGCACAGCACAAAGTGGACCAAAGGAATATGCAAAAGGTCATAGCTAATTTAACAAGCCACTAATACACAGCTCTGCTTTGGAATCAATATTTGCCCCACTGCAATATGTATAATATTAATTTACAACTGACTTAATATTAAACCTATTTTCACAAACGCACATTGTTGCTATTTGAACCACCGTGTGCAGTAACCCCAATAATCACTCTGCTATTTTGTATCTGAAAATATACTTCCTGTTTCCTTCAGGATCCTAACAGAATGCTTTTCAAAGTTGTGTTTTCCCATCGGGGCATTATTGGGATGTTTTGCAAATTGTGGAGTACTTCCTTAACCCTGTGTAATGTGATAAGTCCTATACCTACAGTCATTAATTCTGCCTTTGTCACTGATTACCACGGCCGCTGTATCTTTTTCCACCACTTTGAACATTTCTCCTGATTATCTGTGACAACATAGATGTATTTGGATCACACAGCGCCACTTCAGAGCTGATAATGAAAGTAGAGAAGAGGGCTGAGACAACATTCAGAGCCATGGGTAGTTTTCTGTTTTTGTTAATTAGACTCTCTAAATTCCCAATGCTCCTCTTGGCAAGTTTGTCACAACCTGCTTTAATTGCTAACATGCAAATATGTGATAAAAAATATTTGCTGTAGGGTGGAGGGATTATGAATGCACTCCATATTGGTTGAGTCTTGGGGATGTGTAGCATCGGAAAAGCAAATGTTTTTGTGTTTGAGATCTGATAGACAAAGTGTAGGTGCTGTGTGAGGTATGATATCGAATGTGGTGTCTTCAAAGCAATCAGCAAGTTCCTGCATCGCCTTGAACATTGAATTTACGAAAAGATAAGCATTAAAGATCTCATTGGTAATGTAGCGTGTGGCTTGACATCTTTCTATTGACTGTGACCTTCAGTGGTTTCGCTGTAAAGCAGGCTCCAATAAAGATATGTCCACAGTGTAAATGTCATGAGGTGAAGTGATGGAGGACTCAAAATGCAGGAATGCAAAAAAACAAAAATGGTTTGATGATAAAAATCTAATAAAAGTCCAAGATGAAAACAAAATCCAAACAAAACCCAGGAACCAGGAACACAGACTGACAAGGACAGACAATACAATGAACCAGCAACAAGAGGAAAGGATCACAGGTACATATAGACACAGACACAGGTGAAACACATCAGGGTGGGGCAGACAATCAACACAGGGGAACAAGACAGGAAATACAACTAAAATCAAACTTATGTCAAAATAAAACCAAAGTACAAAAATAAAAATCCACACCATGACAGTAAATACCCCATGACACAGGTACACATTACTTTTCCTACAGCCATATTGAGTCATAGCTAGCCTGGCCTTTGCCATCCGTAAACTCCGGTCAAATCTTTTTTCCCGGGATGTAACAAGTACGAGGGTATGGTAAAACCAGGCTAGGTCATAGCATAAGCAGATACATAATTCCTAATCTTGGTTTTGAGGAAGTATGGTTTTTTTTTTTTTATTCTAAGAAAAGACAAAATGTAATACATCCATATGTTTAAATGACCTAAACAATATTAAGAGACCATATGCAAACAAGACTCTTGTATATGGAGTATACAATGTATACAAATCAGGACAAACTCACTTTCACCTAACTGCATCAAACATAATCCCATTATTAAATTATCTTTACATTATTTGCTTTGGTAAAGTCACTAATACTGGAACCTTTTTGGACTTCAGATGTATTTTCATACAATAATGAAATTGGATATCAAAATCCCAGTCGCCTCCTCCCTGTGGTGTGTACCAGATAAGACCCTGCAGCCAAAGCTTCAAATAGCAGTGCTCCCAGCTGATCCGCTGACCCTGGCCCACCTGGGACCGCCCCGGCCAATCAGCTCAGTGTATGTGCCGCTCACAGAGGCCCGATCACAGCCCCGCCATATGGAAATGTAGGTCAATGCAACATGTTTTTATTTCAGTCAATCGCACTTTTTATTTTTTCTTTCTTTACTAGAATTGTAGTATAAAGTGTGGATGTGGGTGATCCTATTGGACAGAGGATAAGAGCAGCACATTTATAAAACACACAACACTGGGGCTGGTGCTGCTGCTGAGAACATTCACCTACTCGTACTCAATAGAAGAACCATTCAGACCATGGAATCTTCTCTAAATAACTGCAGACGTATTAAGTATAATAATTTTGGTTGGCTAGTTTTCCTACCCCTTGCTGAGCCCTGTAATGTATTCATTAGTGTAGTGATCCCTCTTGACAGGGGTATGTTCCGCTATATTAAGCACATACAAAAATAATCAGAACTGCATATGCATGGACAAGAGAAAATGAGAAACTATTTTGTGCAGTCGTCTTATTTGTGCAGACACTCGCTTCCACACACACATTTGAATAATTCATTTATGTCCACTCTATATAACACACAAACAAACGTATGTCTGAAATTCCCACATGTTCATTTATAGCTCTTACAAATTCACTTTTTAATAAAACAAAGATGTTTCAAAATATGATTGATTATTTTGGTTTTAATATGTTAAAAAATGAAATACATATTGCTTGCAGAAACAATGGTGGACTGTTTATGATAATTAAAGTAAAAAATAGATCCCTACCATCAAAGCCTTTTGAAATAACAAATTGTGTTTTATCTTTCTGTCTCTTTGGGCCTGATGCCTCAAAACCACCATCACTTGTAATCAATACAATATATTGCATTACATTTCTGAGTTGTTCCACCCACGTTCTATTCATAATACCCATAGGTTGCTTTCAAAAATCAAAATACGAACAGACAGAACAGCAAGTAGACTGACAATACATAAATTAGCACATACAACTTGAAATATTTTGTTTATTGGATAATGTACGAGAAATATGGTTAAGATTTGGCGCTTAGGCCCCAGCAGAGAACTGTATGATTCAGAAGGGAAATTAAAATAGGGTTTATAAAATGAAATCCCCTAGGGCCTAAACCCTGGTGGTGGTATAGAAGAAGGGTAAGAGCTGGTCGGAGCTGGTGATGGAGGAGGGTGGCTGCATGGATGAAAGCTCCTGCTTGAATGAAAGCCTCCAGCACATACAGTGGGGCAAACAAGTTCTCCCACTTAAAATAATGACAGAGGTCTGTAATTTTCATCATAGGTACACTTCAACTGTGAGAGACAGAATGTGAAAAAAAAATCCAGGAATTCACATTGTAGGATTTTTAAAGAATTTATTTGTAAATTATGGTGGAAAATAAGTATTAGGTTACTTCAAACAAGGAAGATCTCTGGCTCTCACAGACCTGTAACTTCTTCTTTAAGAAGCTCTTCTGTCCTCCACTCGTAATCTGTTTGAACTTGTTATCTGTATAAAAGACAGCCCAAATGTAGCCCACAACAATATTTCAACCACTGATAATCTCCTTCGATCTGGGGCTCCACGCAAGATCTCATCCCGTGGGTTCAAAATGATCATGAGAACAGTGATCAAAAATCCCAGAAGCACACGGGGGGACCTGGTGAATGACCTGCAGAGAGCTGGGACCAAAGTAACAAAGGCTACCATCAGTAACACGACAGGGAATCAGATCCTGCAGTGCCAGACGTGTCCCCCTGCTGAAGCCAGTGAATGTCCAGGCCCGTCTGAAGTTTTCCAGAGAGCACATGGATGATACAGCAGAGGATTGGGAGAATGTCATGTGGTCAGATGAAACCAAAGTAGAACTGTTTGGTATAAACTCAACTCGTTGTGTTTGGAGGAAGAAGAATACTGAGTTGCATCCCAAGAACACCATACCTACTGTGAAGCATGGGGGTGGAAACGTCATGCTTTGGGGCTGTTTTTCTGCTAAGGGGACAGGACGACTGATCTGTGTTAAGGAAAGAATGAATAGGCCCATGTATCGTGAGATTTTGAGCCAAAACCTCCTTCCATTGAGTTGAATTTGTGTTATTGACCAAATACTTATTTTCCACCATAGTTTACAAATAAATTCTTTAAAAATCCTACAATGTGAATTCCTGGATTATTTTTTTCACATTTTGTCTCTCACAGTTGAAGTGTACCTATTACGAAAATTACAGACCTCTGTCATTATTTTAAGTGGGAGAACTAGCGCAATTGGTGGCTGACTAAATACTTTTTTGCCCCACTGTATGCAGCAGCAGCAGCAGGAAGACTTGGGAATAGTCTTGTCTTCCAGGCTGAAGTGTTAATGTACCATGATTTGAGCATCAAATCAATAATAATAGTTAAAAGGGGGGGGGGGGGGGGGGGTAGGTACTGGGTATTAGGTACTGGGTATGTAATAACATGAAAACCAGTAGCTTTTTAAAATTTCAAACTTGATTTTGAAACTAGAATAATAAATTCTCAATACCAATTTCAATACCATAGAGATTATTCTTAAATATTCTTTTTGGACAATAAAGTGTAATTTTGAATACAGAATAATATTTTTCATGGGACCATACGTTTTTATACAGTGTATCAAAAATGTCAAATTGTGTGTTTTTTACAATTGTTTTTGTATCGATACCACTCACAATAAAATCTGGATTTGATCTCAATACTTTTTGATATTTTCGGCAAACATAAAAGTGACTCAAAGCAAAAGAGAAAAATACCAATTCAAGCCAACATGTGTACGTATGTTCAACATCAACAGAACCTCACAATAAGCCTGCTTTCTTTGAGGTGGCTGTTGCCATGGTGACAAGATTGGCTTCATCCCAGGGTCCGTCTCTAAAAGTGACGGTTTGATCAACGCCAAGTCTCCCCCGCTCTCACCTCAGACCATTGAGCTGTCGGAGTCTTTCCAGAAGAGGCGCCCGCATGTGTCCCCTGCAAAAGGACAGCCAGCTCTGCGCCTCATGCCTCGGCCTGTAAAAGTCACTCCTCCCGGCGCCAAGTACAGTCTGATGACAGTCTGCTGACAATCTCAATGACACGCAGAGGACTAGAGCTGCTCTACCTCCTGTGGAGAGGACTCCTGCTGTCAGTTCACTACACAATAACATGCATACAAAGAAGACTGTTGTTTTTAGTTAATGAAGACTTTCAGAGCGAGAGTAAAAGTAGAATGATGTAAACAAATCAGAGCAAAGCCTGCTGTCTTCATCTATAATCTATAAGAAACATTCTTGTAAGAAAGAGTTCAGTGATTACACTATTTGTGGCTGAGCGAGAGTGGTCCTGTCTTTTTAACTTTTCTCTCTGAAAAAGCTGATCTAAAGATGTGAGAGAGGCAAAAAATAACATGCATGTGAAAACTACAGCAATAGAACCAAACTGTTATGAGAGCAAGAAACTATAAATTATAGTTAGGTGGATTGTATTTGTTTGTTTGTTTTTTTTGTCTGTGAGGAACATAACTCGACATGTTAAAGGAGGATTTGGATGGAATTTGGATGGAATGGCCCACAGAACAACAGATCCAAATTGGGAGCTGATCCAAACAATCACCAACTGGAAGCAGTTTTTTTTAAAAAGAGGTCTGCTTGCTACAAGGGTAGTTTTCCGTCTAGTTCTGTGGTTTGAAAGGTTAGGTACCCCAGCTTTAACTGTTCGTTTGTTGAGCCAGTGTTATGTAACTATTACAACAGATGATGTGCAGTTCGTGGAAGATGTAGCTATTTGTCCAATGTAGCGATTAAAAGTGCTTTATTTTCATGCAATTATCAAACAGCAGCATTTATTGTGCAGCGAGCAACTGCCAGGCCATTTGCAAAACAGAATCTTTCATCAGACTTTGTTTCACTTTGAAAACTGAGTAATGACTACAATACATTTGGTTTGCATGACTGGAGTGGAAGCAACAACATTGTGTAATAAACGGGTTTTAATAAAATGTGTTTTTCTGTGTATAACTTTGTCTGGTTCCATTTGGGGGAAATGTTTCAGATTTCATGACTAGAAGACATGTTCAATTGTTTGGTGCTTTTATGTCCACATCTAAAGCACGTGAACCACAACAACAAGACTATTCACACAATAACACCATGTACATGCATGCACGCACACACACACACACACACAAACTCAAATGACAAAGACAAAACATGATGCTTGTTAACAATTTTCTGGGACTTCATTATGTTCTAAATTGATTGCTTTTGCTAATAAATAGACTTGCAATGAGCTTGTGGGTTAATACTCTGTCCACTTGACAATGCTCTCAAAGGAATTGTTTCATTTACTTCCTAGTACAAAGTAAATTAAAAGACACACTTTAACATGATTTGACTGCATCAAACATGAAATAGCTGCTCTAATACATGAGGATGACACCCTCACGGAATGGTATGATGGAAGTGAAAAGATAATGTTCTACTAAGTCCATTTGAGCCTTGATGTCTTTGAAACTGTTAAACTTTGAATCACGGCTTTCCAAATAAAATGGCCTTATCAGACCAAATAGGAATTTAGATGAAACAAAAACGACATAGACACTTCAAATGTATTCGGCCTGACATTAAAAATCACACACATTTGTGTCTTTTTCTGCCCTGGCCTGGTAAAGTAAAGCTGATGTTTTATGTATGTTTGTGCTCCTGTCTTGTATCTGTAAATGTGCTCCGAAGGTTATGACAGACCTACTTGAACATGTTTCAAACTTGGACCTGGGCCTCTTGGAAACCAAGTTTCTGCAGACACAAAAGAGTAATTCATTGTTTGTGAATGGCACAATGTTTGAACATTGAAGCTTTCTAGGAATATAAATTTTCAATGTATATACAGGACTTAAAAAGTCATTTGTTTGAAAACTAACCATCTGCCATCTTCATCTTCAGCAACTTATTTTAGGAAAGAAACATTTGTAAGAACACTCTGTACCTGGAGGGTCCGCCACCTGCCTCTGCAAGAATAAGCCACATTTATGTTCCCTGGAATTACTTGTCTATAGTGCAATAAATAAGTGATACATTATTGATTGATTCAATACCAAAAATCAATACTCAAATGACAGACATGTTTAAAATGAATATTTCCATGGACAATGTGTGGGAAGGCATCTGAAATCATTAATTTTACTTTGATATGAACAAAAACAGCTGAGTAGGCCTTTTTCTTTGTTTCATGTTATCAACACTCACATAAAACGTTAATGAGAAGAAGCATACAATTCACAAGCCAGGTGGCCTGGTGCCAAATGTTAAGTCAAATGAATTGACGACGTGTGATGTTTTACAGGAGCGCTACAGTATACAGGATTCTAAATCTGTGGATGAGTCAAATGCACATCTTTTACTATGTGCCACTGCTGGCCTCCTCAGATCTTACATCCCTGGACAAAGATTTTAGATTTCTAATGCAGCAGCACTGTGGTTAACACTCCTGCTTCATAGCAACAAGAGCACAGGACGTGTGAAATTAGAGGGCCTTTTTCGAAAACGTGTGTAACAACACCCTGCAATGTTGGAGAAACTGATTTATGAAGCACTTGTCTATGTCGGGACGTGGGGGATGAATACAAATAATACAAACATTGTTTTTAGTTAAATAAGGTCAAGTATCACAAATATCTCAAATTCAACAACTCAATTGGTGGTGCTTGGAGGATCTGATGGTGAAACCTGTTTGGCACTTTTGTTAGTCTGCCTCAGGGCATCTGTGGCTACAGTTGTAGTTAACTACAGCCACTATATCCAGAAAAAGATAAACCAAGAATTGTATAGGCTGGTTCACACCTTTACCTGTGTGAAACTAGTATAGGGAATAAATATACCTCAAGGAGCACAACAAACAACGATACTTTTCAATAGTAAGGAATTAGGAGAAGGCTGATATCAATCGTGTTTGTTTCTGTGGGGCGACGAGAGGAAGAGGAGGATTAAGAATGTTAATGTCAGTGGTGTATCCTCGGATAATTGCAGAGGGCAGTTGACCATAAAGTCCAACCCACCTTGTTATTCTCTGACATTTGGATTGTTGGAATCGCTTACAGACACAGCACTGGGAAAGGCCAGTTTGTGTGTTACTATGGGCGTGTGTGCTTATTTAATAGAAAGGTATATATATTAGGGCCGCGTCTTTAACGCGTTAATTACGACTAATTAACGCCACTAAAATTAGTGCGTTCAAAAATTAACGCATTTTCCACGGCGGAACGTTCCTCACTGGAGGATATGTTTCAGACAGACCGATTGTACTGGCGCACCAACTGAGCTCAGTGACTTTTCTTGTTCAAAAGTACATTATAACAAGCATAGACCAATTTTAGCGGTCTGAGTAGTGAGAGAGTGAGTTAGAGACGGGAAAGAGCGCTATGTATGGAGCTATGGACTCACTGTGGGTCTGTACCATGGATCTATTATGGTCTGTGCAGACAGGCTAGCCCGTGGCTAGCTCCACTAGCTCCACTAGCCCCGCTAGCCCGAAGTAACCATTCACATGAAACGGACATTTTAGGACACATTTGTAGAGGATCTGATTATGGATATAGGTTGGGTATATAAATGGGTAACTCACCGCTGATGGTCAGAATTGTTTGTTCAGTTTTCATGTAGTTCCATAGAGTTTTTGAACTAGCTAGCTTAGCTTTTATCCGCCTAGGTCATGGATGTATTATATTAACTGGATAGGGTATTACTAGCTTGTAGCTGAATAACTCATGTGCTCGGGGGATTCTCGCGGTACTGCAGACTGAACCAGACTAAATTCACGAGGGCTACCCAGAAATGTTCCCCATAGAACTCAATGCATATTAAAACAGCTCAACCTCAGCTGACAGAGAACCTACAGCTTTAATAAAGATCGGATTTTGTGGGGATTTTAGTGTCCCTTGTCATCCTGAACTTTTTTTCTTCTTAAATCCTTCGGTTTTGTTTAAATCCACACTTTAGTGCCACAAACTCTGCTCGTCTGGCTCTCGCTCTAACTCCCGCTCTGATGAACTGCTCTGATTGGTCAGAGCGCGGCCGAGTCCCTCTGTGCACGTGCGTGAGACCCGGTGTGAGACCCACACACGCGTGTTTGGCGCAACGCATTATGGGAGATCATCCACTGCGCAGAACCGGGAGGACCAGACGATGCCCAAATACAGGCAAGTTTCCCATAGATCTTTGTGAGTTTCAGGCGACTTCCGCTAATCTTTCAGCCCCCATGCCGTCACAAAGCGCCACTGAGCACAACCATTCATTTGAATAGGGCGCCATCTTGGATCGCCGGGGCTTGAGCACAATAGATCCATGGCCTAGCCACATCACAGCGAAACCTTTGGGAGCTATTTATTGTATTTGCAGTCATTAAATACATTTCTAATATTAAGGGCTGTCTAATATTCGTTCGAATATATAATATATATATATATATATATATATATATATATATATATATTATATTCGAATATCGGATTTCGAAGTCAAAGCCCTAGTGCTCACTGTTAGTGCAGTGGATTTTGTTTATAAAAAGCGTCTGTTGTCAGAGTGTGTGGAGGCGATAACAGATAATATTTGATGGAAAGAAGTCCGTCTACTCCCCTTTTCATCCTCAATGAAAATGTGATGCTTAAGCTTATGTATTCAGTCATTATTCAATGGTAAACTAAGAATCCATGTGAAAAAAAATTACTTCTTACTGTTGTCAGAACAAATATTTATATGCGATTAATCAAGATTAATTAATTACAAAGCCTCTAATTAATTAGATTTTTTTTTTTTATCGAGTCCCAGCCCTAATATATATATATATATATATATATGTATGCATATAAATGCCCATGTGAATCATTAATGGAGGTTGAGGTGGCAGTAAGTAGTTGCTGGTTATTATATTTTTATTTATTTAATATTCAAATGTATTTAGTTTTGATTGCTGCAATTAAATAAAACAAAAAACAACTATGCAAAGCAAAATCATTTTTATTTTTCCTTAGTATGTGGCCAATTTTGTTCAACCAGATATGGTTTATACCATGATATTAGTAATTTGTACTGCCCTTCACGCGCTGCACATACCAATATGATGTAAAGCCTGCTGCATACATAGTGCATGGCCTTATTGATGAACTGATATCCACAGGGGCTATTCCAGATGAATCCATTTCAAGTGTGCAGGTTTCTCTTTAGCAATGATCAACAGTCGTGATAACCATCTTAGACCAGTGCAGAGGCTTTAACTACACTGTCCTGCTGCTTACACAATGGGAATCGCTATTGAAGAAAAGGTGAATCAACCTACAATCATGCTAAAAGCGATTGACCTACAAAAAGAAATGCTATGACCAGTGTGCATTATCCTCAGGTCGAAGGTAAGTAAGTAAGTAATGTTTATTTATATAGCGCATTTTACAGACCAAGGTCACCTAAAGCGCTTTACAATGTTCAGAGTCAGATATTGGAAGGCACCTAAATATTCCTGTGGGCAACTGTGGCTTGCTTTTGCCAGTGTTAAAGATATCCAAATTCTTCAGAAATATATTATTATTCTTTGTATCTTAAATTGTACTAAACATGTACTGAGTATGTATTAATATATTTACTTTTGATAACGGATTGTGGATCACAGTCCATCTTGTCCCTGCTGCAGATTGCTATATGCATAGAGCTACTTACACTTTAAATGGAGCAATGAAAGAATATTCGAGAGAATTCTGAAATGTTTGTACTCATGTGACAGTTTGATCCAAGTATTAGGAAAAGTGTCTCCATGAATCCCACCTTCAGTTTTCTGTCTGTGAATACGGAGAGATTTTCCACTGCCTGCTTTCACATAAACACACATGACGATGAGCAGACCCTGAGGACAGCAGGCCCCTAGAGGAGAATGCAAACACATTTTACAGCACATGATCAGAAGATAAGCCAGTTTACAACTATATTTAATTGCACCCAGGAGAATTGTTATGAATAAAATATATAAGTCTACAATCTTTCATTTAGGTTTTTATTGTGGCCCCAGGAACCAGCTGGTTCGTTAATGGCCAGTTGTGACTTATGTAATGTGAATTGTTATGGCTGGTGACCCACATTAAGAATAGGGATGCACTCACACTAATACAGCTATTGATAATTGATACGGTGCATTGGTACTAAGGTACAACATTTACTAACTCTTTAAATCCAGATTGTCTGCTTCAAGTTTACTCATACACAATTGTTCTGGAGGCTATAGTTATTTGGAGGAAAAAGCAATTAACCCAAATGAACTCCGCCATCCTTTGTTGTTGATTTGTGGGAAAACAACACTTTCACTATAAGCTATTGGTCAGTAGCTCAATGTCACCAAATACAGTGGTTAAATGTAAATATAAATATATGTGCACTTTGTTGTCCCCGTTGGGAAATTTGTTCTCTGCATTTGACCCATCCTGATGCCACTAAGGCTTATGACAGGAGCAGCTGGTAGAGCATTGGCCTTTGAGCCTGAAGGTCGTGGGTTTGAGCCCACTACGAGACCTTCTCCACAGACTCCTAGTCCGCCCCGCCCGACTCGCCTGGGAGTGCTTCAGTCCTGCACCGGACCTGTCCACGTTCAGCGGCCACTGGTCCACGTCCTGTAGCTAGCTTAGGTCCTAGATCATTAGCCGGTCCGTCCGGAGGAGCGGATCCCTTTCTCATATGGGTCTCCCTCCCTGTGGGTTTCCCTAGGTCTCCCCAAGGTTTCTCACTTTTTCCCACTGGGTTTTTAAAGAGTTTTTCCATGCATTTGTCGATGCAGGAGGGTCTTGTTGGACAGTTAGTGTCCAACAGAAAGGATTGGTGATGATCAGGACACTTTAGCATTCTACAACATGTATGGACATTTTCTTCTGTGTGTGCTTTATATTCTCCATGTGTTTTAACTGTTGATTCTCTGACCTGTGTTGGTGATTTCAATGGTTTTGTTAAGTCCCCTGAGATGACTTCTGTTGTGACCTAGGGCTATACAAGAATAAATTGTATTGTATTGTACTCCACCGATGTCAGACACTAACCCACTTTACCTATGAGGAGCGTGGAAGTAATGTTTGCTGCATGCCTTGATGTTCTGAACAAATCAGACCACAACATTATTAGAAAACATGTAATATTTTGCATGAATGAATGACTGACTGAATGCCCTGTGAGTCACTATGTGACGCTTTGGGCTGGAAGCTGATTGGCTTAGCCGGAGTGCCCCCTCTTTTTGGCTTTTCAGTCTAAAAAGCTGATCTAAAATGTGAGGCTAAAATATAAATGCGTGTGAAAACAAAAGACAGGACCAAACTCTTTACAGTGAGGGACAGTTATGAATTTTACTGTTATTTGTTTTGTGGTTTGAAAATGAGGCACTGCATCTTTAAGCCTCTTTTTTCAAATGAATGAACGTGAAATAAAGAAATATGTGTAGTCTACTTTTCCCGGCATTAAGACGTGTTGATTGCAATCAAAATTGTCATAGTCTATTCAATGATAGTATTCCACTAGTTTACAGTTGCTGCCAGATAGGACTTGAAAGCTCCAATAAAGAAACAATTTGCTCAGTGTGTAACCCACTTGAAGCAGTGATGAAGGCAGTTTTGGACCACAGTTCAGTCAGTCGTGCGCAGTGAGAGAAAGAGGAAGAGCGCGCTCCTCCTCCTCTGTCGCGTCCTCCAGCCGTCTCCGCTTCCACCAGCGCCACTCGTCCCGAGAAAAGCCGAGCACAGAGGCGCGCACGGCGGACTCCTCAGCATCAGCCTCGCAACATGGAAACTGAATTTAAACAGTCGTGCTTCGGCCGCCTGCAACACTTACACGCACTGACCCATGAGGTTTGGAGATCGTAGTTCACTCAAGGCAACTTGTTTTTTTTTTTTTTTTTGATTTCCCCCAGAAATAAGCCACGCTTCGTCTATTTTCTATTTTCTCATATTTTTGAGGAAGACCGCGTTTCTATTCATGGAGAATTGTGTGCTGGTGAGTTGTTACAAACGGAGGCTTTTGGAGCATTCAGAGAACACTTTATAAACGCTGCATTTAGTTATCCGTCAGTCTGCAAAGTGGAATAGCGGTTCTACAGCTGTCAGACTGTACCCCACATGTCAAAATGTACAGAACCAAACGGTAAAGATCCCTCCTTAACGTGGTTATGTTGTTTTATAGACTAATAATCAATAATGCTGTTGCTTCTTATGATTCAACAGGTCCCACTGCAATAAAACAGCTTAGTTTGTTAGGCGCCACGCTAAAATACAGTTGTTATGAAAAACCAAAAGCGGTGAATGTCCTTGAATCAGACACATGTGAAACTATAGCCTTACTTAGAGAGCCATAAAATAAAAAAGCAGTTCTCAGTAATCTAACCTTTTATATAGCCTAAAGTAATTACGGGGAAGGCAATACTTCCTGGTGATTGAACTAAATTACCATAAAGGCTTTCTTGATCAAATAACAGTTTTATTATTGTGCACTCCAGTGGAATCATAAGGGAGCTCCATTAATGATCTCTCTTTTATCGATACTCTCACCTCTCACTGGCTCAGCTTCCGCTACCGGCTGTTTTTGTTCACAGGTCTGAACAATTGTGCAACAAGATTACATTTAGATTTGTCTGTATCTTTGTCCTGAATCGGTGTGCCTGTCCTCTTTCCTGCAGATGGTGAGTGAACTGAGGTCAAACTGGTTGTGAAGGTGCTGGACTTGTTCCCCCCTGCACCCCAGGCCACACGCAGAATGGCTGGAGTAGCAGCATGGCTTCCCTTTGCCAGGGCAGCGGCCATTGGCTGGATGCCTGTGGCCAACCTACCCATGCCTGTGGCCCCCACTGAGAAGAACAAGCGACAGGACGAGCTCATTGTGCTGAATGTGAGTGGTCGGCGCTTCCAGACCTGGAAAAACACACTGGACCGGTACCCTGACACTTTGCTGGGCAGCTCAGAGAAGGAGTTCTTCTACAACGAGGAAACCAAAGAGTACTTCTTTGACCGGGACCCAGATGTGTTTCGCTGTGTCCTCAACTTCTACCGCACTGGCAAACTCCATTTCCCCCGATATGAGTGTATCTCCTCCTATGATGATGAGATGGCCTTTTTTGGCATTATTCCAGAGATCATTGGAGACTGCTGTTATGAAGAGTACAAGGACAGGAAAAGGGAGAATGCTGAGCGCCTCATGGATGACCAGGAGGACAACAAGGATGCTAAGCTTCCCAACATGACGTTCAGAGAGACTATGTGGCGAGCTTTTGAGAACCCCCACACCTCCACCATGGCCCTTGTCTTCTACTATGTGACGGGCTTCTTTATTGCTGTGTCGGTTATCACAAATGTGGTAGAAACTGTTCCCTGTGGTTCTGTCCCTAACCAGAAAGAAGTGCCATGTGGTGAACGCTACACAGTGGCCTTTTTCTGCATGGACACAGCCTGTGTCATGATTTTCACAGTGGAGTACTTGATGCGCTTGTTTGCAGCCCCCAGCCGGTACCGTTTCATGCGCTCTGTAATGAGTATCATTGATGTGGTGGCCATTTTGCCCTACTATATTGGCCTCGTGATGACTGACAATGAAGATGTGAGTGGTGCATTCGTCACTCTTCGAGTTTTCCGCGTGTTTCGAATCTTTAAGTTCTCGCGGCACTCGCAGGGCCTACGGATCCTAGGTTACACTCTTAAGAGCTGCGCCTCAGAACTGGGCTTCCTGCTCTTCTCTCTTACAATGGCCATAATTATCTTTGCAACTGTCATGTTCTACGCTGAAAAGGGTTCAAGCTCCAGCAAATTCACCAGCATCCCAGCCTCCTTCTGGTACACCATCGTTACTATGACAACACTGGGGTAAGAGACGACACCTTTTATCTGCTCTTTGTGTGTATGGGTGCACTACTCGCCTCGGCGTGAGTGTGAGAAAATGTTTGACTGCTCTCAAATGTGTTTCTGTCTGCTCTGATGACCTGCAAGTTTGAAGTTGTGAACTGCTCTTTTGAAATGATGCTGGTAGCTCTGAGAATGCAAGAAAATGTATGATTTAAATGGATGTTGTTTTGCCAAATGTATTTGCTCACAAATAATAACCAATAACCTTATAATATATTGACCTTGGCTAATAACCTATAGTCTTCTCTCCATGTTTCAAAACATCATTGTGTTTTCTTTCTGGTTATGAAAAGCATGCACAACCCCTGGCAAATAGAAAGTCACGCTTTCGGATAATGGGTCATCATTTATGTAATTCTGTCACAGGGGCCTCCTCCCATCACACCCCATAGATGTTTTGTTTCATTTTATTACCATCACTTTCACATTTGCCTTCCATCAGTTTTAGCTGTGCCTTGTGCCACAAATAGATGATTAATTTTACCCTACATGCTGGCGCTCTCACTTCTATGTGATATTCTGCTATTGAGCCAAATGATAATGTATTTTATGAGTGTTGCCTGTAGTGGATGGGCCCATGCATGTGATTCAGATGAAGGGGTTGACACATTGAAGCATCCTGGTAAATGTCAGGCTCATGGAGGCCTTAAATGGCTGTGAGCCCATACTGGAACTGTGACACACTTGGCTCATGGTCACTGTTTTTCACTGGCAACTTCAGAAATCTCATGTGTGAAATTGATATGATATACTCTTGATTCAAAGTGGTGTCACTCATATTTGATCCATTATACCTGTGAGCCAAACTGATCCACACCATTCCACTTACAGCTGTAGTCACTGTTCTTGCCTCGTGTGACCTGCTCTTCCCAGTGGAGTGAGACCTGAGCTGCTTGCATGCTCTCCTGTTGCATTGTCGTTGCCTGGAAAGCGGTTTGTGTGCTAAGAGGGTGCGAGCAGTTCAGCCTAACCTCATCAATAAGGCTCGGCCCACAAGTGGGTGTCACATTGACTAATGGTGTGGTCCACTGCATCTGCTGACTAACGTAAACCTGCGTGACATTCTGCTTCCAGCTCATGGGCGACGTAATAAACATTAACACAAAATCTTATGTCGTCTCAAAGTTCCTGTAACGATAGAGTTGGATTGGAAAAAACACTGACATGGTTTTTGCATGCAAAGGTCTTTGCATGTTCTCCCTGTGTCTGTGGAGGTTTCTTCCTGGTGCCCCTGTTCTCTCCACCACTAAAACATCATTGGTGGTTATTTGATTAGTAGGAATGGTTGGTGATGGCAGTCCCACCTCTGTCATCACCGTGTGTGTGGAATGAATGGAAAAACACACCAAATCGTCTGTGAAATGAACTATGCAATTACAGATCACTTACTCACTGATCTGATCCACTTTTCGCTCTTGTTGTCTGCATGTAGTCTTATTTCTCTGCTGCTGTGGAGTGCAGGGCTGTATCATCTACCCTGAGACTTTCATATCATCTGCTCTGTTATATTTAATTTACTGCTATCTGGTTGCTCAGCCCAGGTGTTTGTGGTGCTCGAGAGGAAAGAAATTCAATGGATTGTTGTGTTTTTGTTTTTAGGCGATGCCCATACTGATAGCTCAGAATCAAAAAAAGTAATGGCAGATGTTCTTGGTCTGATTTTTATCATCCCAAATGATGTAATCAGAATATACCACTAACATACACAACCTTTTTTAACACTATTGTAGGGAGACTAGAGAGTAGCGTAGAACCCTGCTCACCCTCAAGCATTCTGCATAAATTGAAATCATCTTGATTTTCCAACTTATTTAAGCAGACTTATTATGCTTTTTGTGCTTTTTTAGTGATAATCCATGAGAGCAGTGGTAACGTATTGTATGTATTCTTTGAACATATCATCTGAATGTTGATTGGATGGCTTAGTCGTGAGGGCCCATGCGTGACAAAAAAGTAGTAGTTTTGATTATCCCTGTTTTTTGGGGCTTTTTCCTTGTGTCTGGGTGGGTTTCCTCCAACAACACAGTCCTATGGCACACACTGACACAGGTACTAACTATTGGAATTTTCTGTGTACATCAACAAAAACTACAATATAAGGCAAGTCACATATTCTTTGCTTTTAGAAATACTGTATAACTCAGTCATAATCAATAATGCCAATCAATTCTAGGCTGAATAGATAGAGGAGAAAAATAAGTCATGTGAAAGCAGAGGCTACATTAAAATGATAACTCTCCACCTCTGGAGATGCTGTTCTTTCAGCCGCTAAACCGCTTACCTCAAATCCTACAAATGAAAGGCAGGCAGGTGCACAGCGCCAGGGGCTTTGGCTAAATTGTTTAGGCAAAAACCACAACATGGGATTTTATTTTACTCAGGTTGTTTAACAAATGGATGTTAACCTTTTGAAGAAATTAACATCACACAATCAAATTTAGATGATGTCATTAGGGATGCACCGATAATACTTTTATCAAAACCGATACGAGTACGAGTGCCTTCATTTGAATACCGATGCGAGTACTGCACATAGACCAGGGGTGCTCAATACGTCGATCGCGATCTACCAGTCGATCGCAAAGGTAGTATTGGTAGATCGCATCAAATAAATAAATAAATACACATTCTAAACGAATATATACAAAAAACTCCGGGCAAAGTGGAGATTTTTGAAAACTCCGTTAATGCATTTGTGTGTAGACAGAGATAACCGGAGTTTTGCGTTCTCGCACGCCACAGTACCCCCCTAAATTCCTCTGATCACTGAAGCATGGATCATACTACCTTAAAAACTGTTCGCTGTGAGATGCTGCAGCAGCGAACATCCTCGCTCCACATCAGAGAGCAGCAAAGTGATCGCGGGGACTCAGGACTAGGGCTAAGGACTAAACCAGGACTAAACCAGGGCTGAGGACGGGGTCAGTGCTTGTAAACATACGTCTTTACTCTGAGTGTCTTCTATGACTGTAAAAGTGCCGTTACCGGCGTCTGCATCAAAGCTCCGCCCACTTCTGTGTTTTTCCCCAACGCAGGACAGGACGTAAGAGACGCACATGTTTGGAATGTTACGAATGTGATTGATAACGCAGATGTTTGGATGCAAATTATTTTATAAACTGAGGAGGGGAAATATTTGGATTTAAAAAAAACAGGCATAGCACATGGACATGGCACCACAGTCAAATGACATCTGTGTTTTACTCAGTAATGTTTTACTGACACTTGGGTGACTGCACATGTGTGTTTTACTCAGTAATGTTTTACTGACACTTAGGTGACTGCACATCTGTGTTTTACTCAGTAATGTTTCACTGACACTTAGGTGACTGCACATGTGTGTTTTACTCAGTAATGTTTTACTGACACTTAGGTGACTGCACATCTGTGTTTTACTCAGTAATGTTTCACTGACACTTAGGTGACTGCACATCTGTGTTTTACTCAGTAATGTTTTACTGACACTTAGGTGACTGCACATGTGTGTTTTACTCAGTAATGTTTTACTGACACTTAGGTGACTGCACATGCGCAAACAACGCGCTCAGTGCAGGAAAGCTAAACAACGACAAACTTGTCAGTGAGTTACCACCAATTTTCCGGACTATGCCTCCCTGGCCGATTCAATTCAGTGCAAGTCATCAGAGTAAACTCGGGTAATGACAAAAAATTTACATAGGTAATTGTGTTGTGTTGTGCTATATTGGCTCATGCGGTTTTGCATGTACATAAACATACATTGTAGATAAAGAATATTTTTTGAAATAAATATATGGTTTGCATTTTTGTAGTAGGTAGATCATTTTGACTTGATCCTTTTATAAGTAGCTCGCATGCTGAAAAAGTGTGAGCACCCCTGACATAGACTGTTTAAATATTACTTCATTGTGCTATCCCTGTGAATTCATTAAACAATACAAATAAAATTAATTAAAAAAAAAAAAAAATCTATTTTAACAATAAGAAAATGCTTTAACAATTAAACTTTTCAGCAATTGTTTTAATAGTCAACAATAAGAGCCACTGTCATATTCCACTGATTCAAATGGTACAAATAAATAGTTTCGGTGCTAGCAAAGGTGTTATACTCTGTGTGGTGGTGAGTTTTCAGATGTTTAATCAATTTCCTGGTGACGTTATAAGTGTTTGTTTGGGACCCACCTCATGACAGCGTTTGCTGCCTTACACAACGCTCAGTCCGCTTTACTCGTCACTCTTGTTTACATAAAAAAACTGCCAAACTCGGCTGTCTGTTTGCTGATAGCTTGCGTACCGGTAGCTCGCTTGCCACTTACTCTCTTTCTAGCTGCACTCTTTGGGAGATCACCATGGCAACACGTGCCGTACAGCTGCCTGCTGTCCTGACGCTAACGTGAATTACAAATGTGGGTATCGGTTCCAAGATTGGGTCCTATGATATGAGTACAAGTACGAGTACAAGCCTACGGTATTGACCCGGTGTCCAATATCGGTATCGGTGCATCACTAGATCCCATTACAGTGATTTGAAAATATAAGGCCTAATGTATTGAAAGATATTTGGAGAATGACCTCACTCACTAAAATAAAATGAAATCAAATGAAGTTGCAGGAATCGCCTTTGATGAAACGACAACTACGTCTATTGTTTAAATCAGCCATTCCCAAACTCAGTAACACCGAGGCCCCCTTAAAATCTGTCGGGTCTGCGTGGACCCCCAAAATAATAACCAACGAAGACAACATTAAGAATAGGCTCTTCTGGTTATTTTATTTGGGGAAATAGCCTCTGCTACAAACATTGTAATACAAAAAATGATTACAGTGGATTATTCAAGTCAAATAATGAACACAAATATTTTAATATTACAAACAAAACATTATAAATTTAACATTAAATAATTATATTATTATTATTTTTTTTTTATGACCTCCCGCGGCCCCCCTGCAGTACCCTCGCGGCCCACCAGGGGCCGCGGACCCCAC